TTGAAAGAGGGATCTATCTGAATAGAGTACTAACTTGATTCACCATCATCCCCATAATTTACACTACCGTGACCCTGCTTGCCGTGGTTGATACGTCGTGCTGCGGGCAGGCCTTGAAATCACAGCGCCATTGACAAACTTGAACTTTCTGAAGACTGCGCGACGCGAAGTCTTGCCGCACGACGTATCAACCACGGCAAGCTCCCTCACTATCGCGACGTCACACTATCATGATGGAGATGACACTGCACTCTGGACACCCTAACGTTGACATCAACGTTCCTTACTACCCTAGTTTGGGGTATTTCTCTCTAGGTATTTCTGGAGAACCCTTAGTTAGCCTGGGGTAGGTTCTATAGGTAGGTGTCGTGGGGGGGGGTCGTATCCAGGCGGGGGAGGCCTCGCAGGGGAATAAGCGGCAGGTCGAATAGGGAGAAGCAGTCCTGGCCAAAGGTAACCCGGCTTGAGTCCGAGCGGATCGACGGAGAAGCAATGGGTGAGTCGCTCTGCGCAGCCGATTCGAATGCGTCGAACTCCAAAATTCCCGCAATGGCGAATAGACCTGCTGCGAGATTCGAAATCCCGTTCTCAGGGGCCTGATCGATGCGCTCTCATAAAGACTCCCTATCCTGTGGGCATTGCCTCGCCACGGCTGAGGCCGGCGCGCGGCAGCTGCCGCCGGCGCACCCAGGGCCGCCGCGCCTCCTAGCCAGACAGCGAGACTCACCCGCGCAGGCGCAGGAGCCGTGCTGAGCAGTGGTGGACGAGACGCGCGGCCTCGGACAGCGCGCGACCGAGGGCCGAGAGTTTCCCCGTGCGGCCCTCGCGCAGAGCGGGCGCCTTGCGCACGAGGCGGACGCGGTCACGCTTGACCCAGAGGCGGCCGCTGGACGCGACGTTGCCGACGCAGTAGAGGTCGTCCTCGACCGACGCTACGACAGCCCGGAGCCACGCGCCGGGGACCGTGTTGCCGCTGCACCAGACTTCGACATCGTCGCCGGGCGCGATGGCGCTGGTCTTGCCCTCGTGCACGGGCCAGCGAAGTTGCTCGCGCGTGACCCACTCATCCCAACGCGCGTCCCAATTGAGATAATGCACTTTGTAGCGGCGAAGCTGCGCGTCGTCGCCGCCTGCGGCCACATCGTCGCCTGGCCCGCGCCGCCGACTTCGGGCTTGTGCGGTGCGTGGCGCCGTGGCGCCACCAGCTGGCGCGACCCCTGTTGAGGCACTGCCGCCGGTGCCTGCCTTCTCGGCGACCTCGGCCGCCCACCACGCGAGGCCCCGGTAGACCTGTGGAGACATTCAATCTTGGGCCTGACTTGTGCGCGCAGATGCGTTCGGTGGGTTGTATTTCCTGCTCGTTTGAAAACTCGATGTGCGCAGAGCTTACGAGCAAAAGCCGACCGAGACAACGTCGTCGCAAGCGTAAACGAGAAGGCGCTATCTGTTCGAATTCCACTCTGCGCAAGACCTCAAGGCCCTCAAGGCGGAAGCGGCCCTGCCATGCAACCTCGACGCGGTCGCCTGCGGATGGATCACGGAGCCGTTGCCGGTATCGCTCCTTGAGAGACGCGCCTGCGGTGCCGCACGCGTCGATGCTGCGCCGCCCAGATGTCTTAGGACGCCAAGGCACGCCAAAGTCGAAGCGCAACGGCCCGCCGGCGCCAAACTGGCGCTCATATGGCTCGTGCCACGCCGCGTCGCACTCCGCGGCAGACTGGGCCTCGCGGCTCACTGCGCAAAGCGATGCAAGCGCCGGAGCCTGCGTCACGAGCATCTGTCTCGGCCACCTGACACGGTCCAGGCGCCGAGGTTGCGCATCGACGTAGGCGAGGATTGCCCCGGAGAGGAGGTCCCGTGGGAGCGCCGAGAGTCGATCCGCCTCGTAGAAGTGGAGGACCAGCGACACGAGCAGCGCACGGTTCTCCCGCGTCCACGCGGCACGCGCGAGTCTTGGGGTCGTGGTGGTGGCGTCCGGCGCTGCAGCGTCAAGAGCCGGCCGCGCCGCAGCGAGCGCTGCGCGGTCGCAGCGTTCCTGTGGGAAGGTCCTGAAAGTCGTGCGCGCGTGTGTTGTTTGTGGACGCGAATTCATGCGAGCGCTCGAAGCACGCGCCGGAGCTGGAGTTGGAGTCCTCGCGCGTCTGGCGCGACCCGAAGTTCGTCGATTTCACCCCGCGCACTGCCCAAGGGCCCTGTTTCCGAGTTAATTGAAAATACCTCATCGATCTCAGACCCGCGGAACATAGGGGAGATCACTGGTAGACGCTGAAAGGCGGTGGTCGATTTCATCCGACGGCGCGACCCATCCTGCAGCCGACTCCGAACTAGCTCTCCAAGGCTATGGAAATGGCCGTCTCTAACCTAATGCTTAGTAGGGTTTTGTAAAATACGACTTTATTTCAGGATCGACGAGCTAGCGGCACCGCTCCGCCGAGCGCAGGGGTCGATCCGGGGACGTAAGGTCGTTCTGGGCCGCGCCCGCGCGTCGCGACCATGCTCGGAGTCTTTGCGCAGCTCGCGCACCGCTCGGCGGGGTCTGGCGGCGCGCGCCGATTGACACCACGTCGCGTAGCTCGTCGATCCTGAAAATAAAGTCGTGTTTTAGAAAACCCTTGCAAGCATGAAACCCCGGCCCCTGCGGTAAATCGGTAATTAGGGCCGGTTCGGAACTTTAGGCCTAACTTTGCGTCCGGAAGTCCGGCGTCGGCGTCCGGCCGCGTCCGGACTCGCGTCCGGCGCCGGCGTCCGGCGGCGTCCGGCGACGTCCGGCGACGTCCGGCGGCGTCCGGCTCAGGTCCTGAGTCGGCGTCCAGCGGCATCCGGCGCGCGTCCGGCGGCGTCCGGCGGCGTCCGGCGGCGTCCGGGAAACTTCAACTTGCGTCCGGCGGCGTCCGGGGAACTTCAACTTGCGTCAGAACATCAGGATGAAATTACCAGAATGCAAGCTGAAATCGATACTCTCAGACAGCAGTCACCAGAGGAACGCAGGAATACAGATGGCATAACCTTAATTGGCAATGCTGTGAGAACCATGACTAGTATCTTGCGTCAAAATACAAATATCAGCAAAAAGCAATGGGGGAGATGGTGGCAGCCATTTCTCAGCTTGAGAGCGCTATTGTTTATCCAGTTGGCAGTTCAGGCACTCCAGGTATAAAAGCGAGACCGCAGCTTAAGTCTGCGTCAACGGGATTGTACAGGAGAGTCGTTGACCTTAGTAATACTCCGTATGCCAAGAAAGTCAAGGCGGCTGTTGCCAAGGGCGCGCTACGCAGCACACAGAATCCATACGGGAGCAGGAACCGAAGGTTTAGCCCCATCTCACTTTTTCATTTTCAGTCTAAGTCAGGAACACTGCCATTTCCCCTTAAGGAAGTTCAGCTTGGTTAGTTGCCAAGTTCAACATAAAAGTTGAAGTTAGGGGGTCGTAAACCGCTCGAAAGTGGGGTCCTTTCGCCGAGGCTGGCGTTGTGAGTGCGGTAGCGTCGTACATTTTGAGACACTCGGGCGTGAGGATCGTCTCAAGAAAAGTTTTCGCAAAAAGTTGACTTTCAACCCGCACTAGACCCGCGCGCGCGCGCGCGCGCGTCAAATTTTCAGGAGGTGTAGTACACGTCCCTCCGGCCGCTGGCCGGATTTAATTAATAAATATTATTTTCTTTTTT